CCTTCAAGTTGGGCCGATTAGCTTCATACTTTACTTTTTATTTCTTGCATTAACTTTAAGATTTACAAAGAAATATTTATTCACAAATATTATTGTACTTATAAAATACAAAATGAAATTTTGGAAAACATGTTGAACATTTTTAAAACATACGGTGAACATGTAATTAATGGGCACTGAAGATTCTTTTAATACACAACTAATATTTTCCAATAAAAAAGATGCGCATTAAACAAAATACATGATAAGAATTTGTAAATACACATGGAATTTTTTTAAATATCATCCTAAATTATTTTCAGTAAACACCGTAAGGATTTTTGAAGTACAGTATATAATAAAAAATCCTAATACATGACAAACAAAATTTCCATACCCGTTGCACATTTTTTTAAATACCTGTAAGAACATTTTTAATACACCATAAAAAATTAATACATGGTAGTCATTTTTAATTAACGATAAACCTTTTTAATAAACCTGAAACATATTTATGCTAAAAATAATAATGTGTGATGAACATTTCCCTTAAAATAAATAGATGATGAACATTATGTTATTAATATGTGATGGACATTTTTTAAAGCAAGATGAGATGTTGTAAGAAAAGAAAATGAACATCTTATACACGATGAGTCAGCCGGCTATATCCATTCAGCCGAGGTCCATTCAGTAGTTGGTATTTGAGCTATGTTTAAATTTTGGTCGAACTTTTTTAAATTATGGATTATGATCGAAGTAGTTCAAATATTTAGTTGAAAAAGAAGGTGATTTGGTTGATCTGGGTGCCTATTTTAAGGTGCTGTTGAAGACGGCCACTTCTCATGCCCAAAAAAACACCTTCTGATGCACATTCTTTTTTCTCCACCAACTTTTCGTGCCCTATTATATGGAAGATGTTGGAAATGCTCATATTCATGTACGTACGCTAGCTGCTCTACGACAACGTACATACAAGTCGTGGTTCAGAATTTACCTTATGTTTGTTAGAGTTGTGTCGAATATTATTGTACAAGTTAGGTTACAGTTGGACTTGGTTTTGAACTGTGTATAGACAGGGTAGGAGTTGTGTCCTAATAGGACACTTGTATCCTAGGCCTCTCATATATAATGGGGGTAGACACACTATGTAACCTATGCCAACATAATAGCACGGGCACGCGGGGAAGCCAGCGGCGTGTGCCGGCGCCCGGGCGGCCGGGATGCGGTATTGTAGCGGTGTCATGGGGAGGAGCGCCCGTAGTCAGGCCCCGGGGATGTAGCCATGATGGTGAACCTCGTTAACAAATCTCGGTGTCGTGCTCGTGTGAGTGCTTGGTCTTCGGATGATCAACGGAATGCCTCGGATTTATTCTAACAAATGGTATCATGAGCAAGGTTGCGCGGAGGCTAGCAGCTTGAAGGGCGTGTGGCCCAAGGGGCCGCAGGCAAGTGGGCTGCAGGAAGGCAAGGCCCAAGGCATGGTGGCAATCAACGACTACTGTTGTTGTTGTTGGTGCGCTAGGACTACAGGAGGTTGCCAAGGCGTTGCATATGCTTGGAGTCACGTGATTTGTTACAGAAAAAAAAGGTGCAAGCCCCAAGGCGCACCAGTGTCCAGGAGCGTTGAGGTGGATTAAAAGGAGGAATTGATCCATATGCGCTAAGGGTACACGGAAGGCTACTAGAGGAATTCTCCGATGGCTCTCTTTGCTTGGTACATGTACATGTATGTACAGGATGACAGCGGTGCTCGCTACGGAAAACAAAGGCGCGGTCGCAAGTCCATGAAATATTTGATACGATGCAAGTCAATGAAGATGGACGTGTGCGGTGACGGCGGCGTGCATACAAGGCTCGGGTGGAGTCTGGAGCATGTCGTGTCATGTTCATGCATACACAGGGCGTCAAACAATGTACGGAGATGTGCGGGGCGGATACGATGCAGGGTGGAGCATGGTTGCAGTCGGATAATTTTGGCTGGGTCGGACTGGACTGTCTGACAGACCGACATGGATGTTGGTTAAAGCAGAAGACGGCGGTGATTTCAGCGATGACGACATAGGAGCGTGATGCTGATGGTGGCCGACTTCTGGGGCGTGGAAACACGTGGTGCAGGCCTGACGGCTTGTGCGGCTTCGACAGACTATGGCGCGGGGTTGATTCAAGACGGTACACATGAGAGCTTGGAGTCGACAGGACGCGGGAGGGTGGCACGTACAACCACCATGGAGTCATGTTGAAGGTGGAGCTGGAGTCAGACGGATGACTTCACTCTGTGCTGATGGAGGGGCTACGGTGTAAGATATCGGAGAATTGAAGCCTATTTCAGCGGGATAGCGAGAGACACGTGGATCGGACTGGGTACCAGTGGTCTTGGAGACGTGATACTCGGCATCGGTCGGTGATGATCGGTGGTTCTTTGCAGTGGGGGTTGAGGCAGTGTGGGCTAGCTAGCCGGGAGACTTAACCAGGACAGCAGAGGCTCGACGCGATGATAGCGGCGAGGCGTGCGGTAAGCACGGGACACAGCGACAGGCCAAGGCACTGATGGCCAGACATGTGGTCAGATAAACTGTGCAGGGGGTGCTGAAGCAGTGTTGACGAGTATTGGATTCAAGTTGGTGACTGGGTCTATCGGTGCTAGTTGATGGACAGGAGTTGACCGTGGAGAATCTGAGAAAGTGGCGAACAGTCTGAAATTGTCAAAAGCTAAGAGAGTACATGGCCGTATATTCTCTGGTGTTCGGTGCACATGGCAAAATGCGGATGACAAATACAGAAGGAGGCGGAGTGCTACAGTTGTGGGACATGTCAGAGACTATCCGAGGAAAAGGATGAGGCAACTATGAATTTGACTCAGGGTGACACAGGTCGACGGTGAAATTCCTTCAAGTTTCCGACAGCCGGACAAGAAAGAGCGGTGATGTTGAGTTCAGGTAACTCTTATTTGTGGCGTTCAATACGTGAGTTGTTCATTTTCACGCAGACAGTGGTCGGTGTGTGATGGTGTTGACGGATTCTTCGGAAGTTGGGAGCACAAAGTAGAGTATTGAGGAACTTAATTTTGCTCGAGTATTGACTGTGAAGAAGACGAGAAGGGACTACAGTTGCAGGTGGAGTCATATGGAGTCTGGGAGTAGCAGCGGTGCTCATGGCGTATCTCAAGTCCAATGTACATGGAGGTTCGACGCACGGACGAATTCAAGGTGGTGGAGAATATTTGCCAAGGTGGAGTTTGTTAGAGTTGTGTCGAATATTATTGTACAAGTTAGGTTACAGTTGGACTTGGTTTTGAACTGTGTGTAGACAAGGTAGGAGTTGTGTCCTAATATGACACTTGTATCCTAGGCCTCTCATATATAGTGGGGGTAGACACACTATGTAACCTATGCCAACATAATAACACGGGCACGCGGGGGAGCCAGCGGCGTGTGCCGGCGCCCGGGCGGCCGGGATGCGGTATTGTAGCGGTGTCATGGGGAGGAGCGCCCGTAGCCAGGCCCCGGGGATGTAGCCATGATGGTGAACCTCGTTAATAAATCTCGGTGTCGTGCTCGTGTGATTGCTTGGTCCTCGGATGATCAACAGAGTGCCTCGGATTTATTCTAACAATGTTTACCTTATGTAGTAGTAGTACGGGTTCCATTCCTAACTTGTACGTACTAAGTAGGCCTGAAAACTAAATTAATTTTAGATAACATTTCAAGTTAACAAACGACACTACGGCCATGCCTGCACAATTGTGAGGGTCATCCTACTAGTTGGCTACAACCAAGACCAAATATAGGATCGGGACGAACTGATAGTGAACAACAACAATATTTTTGTCTGCCCACTCTATATCATCAGTGCAGGTGATCTCAGAATTTGGATTCATCAGCATGCTGGGTTCATCATGGCTCACAAGTACAAACCAATAACGGTTACATGCATCATGCAACATTCATTATTACAAGTTTACTAAAAACAAAAATGCATACACTAGCACAAGTCTCTAAATACACATTATTCACTTTCATTTATTCATACAACTCATATGATAGACTGACACTTGTCATACGCTGATTTATTGTAGCACTAGAATTGTAGTTACCTAGTCCTGGCTAACCTGCCCCAAGTGAGGACCATAAACACATAGGCTTTATCGTGCACCTTGTCAAAGAAGCTAAAATAAGCAATCCTCCATGCTGTCTTGAAGAGCAGAGCAACAAACACAACCCAAAGGCCAGCTACAAATCCTGACCCAAGTCCATAGTAAATGAACAACATTGATTCTGAAACTTCTTCACTTCCCTCTTGATGGTCAGGCTGTGGTGTATTATTGTTGACAGAGCAATTTTTATGAAGGATAGGCCCACAAAGGCCAATGTTGCCATTGTACATGGATGGGTTCTCCACATAAAGAGTTTCAAGTTGACCTCCTGATGGTATTCTTCCTTCTAGATGATTATAGGACAGGTCCAGAATACTCAAGTACGTTAGATTTGATATGCTTGCCGGGATTTCTCCTGAAATGTTATTATTCGAGATGTCAAGTGACTCCAATGTCTGCATGTCCCCAATCTTGTTAGGTAATCCTCCATTCAGTTGATTCCAAGACAAGTTCAGGTTTTTCAATCCATCAAGAGACGTAATTTCCTTTGGAAATTTACCGCTTAAATAATTGCATGAGAAGTCAATGCTCGATATCTCCAAAACACCATTACCTCTGTATTTAAGTTGTTGCCTCTTGGTGAGCACAGGCATATCTGTTATTAAAAGTGCGGAAAAATCATGGATGGTGTTTGGATCCAGTATGTATGGTGTTGTCATGGCTGTTAGATTTGATAGCCGATGAGGTATGGAACCTGATATCCTATTAGCTGCCAGATTCAAATGATAAAGTTTTCTGAGACTTGTAATGTTATTCGGAATATGCCCATAGAACATGTTGTTGCTCAGCTGCAGAAACCGTAGTTCCGCCAAGTTCCCAATCCACATTGGTAATATTCCGGAGAATTTGTTCCTTGACAGATCTAAAAAAGATATCCTTGTGGAACTTTCTAGAAATGGTGGAAACTTGCCAGAGAAGCTATTATTACTTAACAACAGAATTTGTATGTATGTTGTTCTTAACTGAGGAAGTTCTCCTTCAAGAAGATTGTTGGCCAAAATCAAGAAGTATAGGTCCAATTCACATAGAGATACTGGAATTTGACCTGAGATGTAATTGGAAGATAGATCTATCCAAGTCAGGCTTGGAACCCCAAAATCTGATGGCAGGGGTCCCGATAAAGAGTTTCCTGATATGTCCAATGTGTTTAGATTTCTTGGCAATTGAGGTATTCTACCAGATATATTGTTTGAACCAGCAAACAGATAAACCAATGACATGTTACCCAATTCTTTTGGCAAGGCACCACTTATTCGGTTATTGGAGATATCCATGTATGTGACCTTTGAAAAGGCATTATAGAACCAATCTGGAAACCTATCGGTTATACCTGCGCTTGAGATATCAAGATAAGTAAGATCCACGTGCCACTTAAGCCATGCAGGGAACTGAGGCCCCATCTGGCAAGATCCAAGATGCGCTTCTTGCAGTCTAAATGGAGGAACCCATTCTGAACTAACCTTAATCTCCAATTGATTATCAGATAATTGTTGGTCAAACATCTCAGAACTCAAGCATAATTTCTCTAAGCTTTTTAGACCATGAAAGTGCTCTTCCATAATTAGACCATCCAAGTGATTGCCACTTAGATCCAACGAACGCAAATTTGTGAGAACGCCGATTTCAGATGGGACATGTCCAGTCAAGTGGTTGTCAGAGAGGTCTATACCCCACAAATTTGTGAGAATGCCGATTTCAGACGGCACATGTCCAGTCAGGTTGTTGCCAGAGAGGAGTAGACCCCGTAAATTTCTAAACCGCCCTATAGATTCTGGTATAGGCCCAGTAATGTTGTTCGAATAGAGCCAAAGAACGACTAAGCCTGTGCGGTGTCCCATCCAATCTTCAAGAGTTCCTGTCAACCGGTTTTCCTCCAGGTACAACTTCTGCAATTTGTTTGACGAACATTGCGGCAGCTTCTCCGCTTTAATTCCATGTGAGAAACAAGAACCAAGGTCTAGGAACCTCAAATTGCATAGGTTCTTCAAGTTTGCCGAGTCCATGCTCATTGTGTTGCTAACTTGTGATAAGGATAATTCTTGCAAGGATATCATGCCCCCCAATGCATCAGGAAGCTGACCATATAGTCCGTCGATATATTCCACGTAGAGATGCTTGAGTCTTGTTAGGTTCCAAAACCAACAAGACGCAATGGGGTGGTCAAAGTTGTTTTCAGAGAGGTCGAGCTCCTCAAGGGTTGTACTGAGGTTTAATTGTGGGAGCGACTGGTTGGCACTAATTAGCGCACAACGAGAAAGATGAAGGGATCTCAAAGAAGGAAGGGCGTTGACCACATGAGGCCAATCGGCTACTGTGCTCAGGTCTATGGCACCCAGGTTGAGATACCTTAGAAACCGTAGACGTGTTAGCCATGAGAGATCCTTGGAGGACACATAGTTATAGTCATAGGTTGATAAGTCAAGATAGTGCAGCTTTGAGAGGTTGCCAAGGTGGGGAGGAACTTCCCCGGGAGAAAACTTTACATGGGATAGGTTAAGATATCTCAAGTTTGCCAAAGAACCCAGAAAGGCAGGAATACGGCCTGTAAGGTTGGTGGCGCTGAGATCAAGATGCTCCAGATGCGGCAGGGAGAGCAGAGAAGGACTTATCTCACCGGCCAGTCCCTGGCCTCGAAGGTTCAGCGCGACGACATGGCCAGTCCGGTTGCTGCACCGGACACCTCTCCACTGGCAGCAGTCTTCGTCTTTGCGCCATGAGGCGAGGAGACCAGCGGTGCCGATCTCCCCGGTGATGCCTCGCTTGATGGCCAGCAGTGCGTCCTGCTCCTGCGGTGTGCAGGCCGCTGACACATGGGACGAGGTGGCGAGCAGTACGGCAACGACGCCGGCGAGGAGGAGCAGCATCTTTGCAGGAGGGTGCATGGTGATTGTGGGCACCGGGCAGACGGTAGCGCACGGCATGGTGATTGTGGGTAGACAGTTGTGTGCGCACGGCATACATATATAGCTCCAGCAGTTTACATTTATTAATTAGTATGTGGGGCTTGCTTCGGTAGACGCCCCCAACAAAACGTAGAAGGGCATAATCGTCATACGGAAGAAACGTATGCCCACCTCCTATCATACCGTATAGACCGGCGTCCGTATACCTTGACGAATAAAAAAAAAGACCGCCGCACGTGTAGAGGAAAAAAGTCAGCTGCACGATCTTCTCGCCCGCCCGACGATCACGCACGTCGATCACGTCCAGTTTCTAACTGTGCGATCGCCGCCGACTGAACCCCATCCGACGCCGCATCTGAACGTCGCCGCGGATCCGTCCCGCGTCGACCTACGCCGGCGACGTCTACACCGCGGCCCTCGTCTTCCACGTCGCCGCCGTCTTCCATCTAACCCTCGTCCTGCACGTCGCGGTCGGACGGCTTGTCGGCTGCGACTGACCGCGCTGTCGTCCGCACGCCGCGGATCCGGCCCTGCATCGACCTACGTCGGCGACGTCTACACCGCGGCCCTCGTCTTCCATGTCGCTGCCGTCTTCCATCTAACCCTTGTCTTGCACGTCGCCGCTGTCTACTCCGCGGCCCAAGGTTTGCCATCTAATCTCCTCGTCTAAACCTAGCATGCTAGATGATATGAGTCACACATAGTGATCTAGGGTTTACGGTTGAGTAAACATGCCGTCGCAGCGGCGCCTCCCCGGACGACCGCATGTTGTAGGCAGATAGAGTTGCACTTGGGCATGATCCATAGTAGAAACTTAACACGTGATGAATTCACAATGTTATGCAGTTTGGTCAGTTAGGCGTGTTGCCATGGATGAACAAACCGCATTGACGGGGGATGATAATGGTACTAATAAGGCGACTCGGAATGATAACGATATTTTTAATGAAGATGATGACAGCAGCGACAACGATTCCGTGTCGTCATTTGATATCTTGCCTCCGGAGGATTTTGATCATAATGAACATGGCGCAAATAGTGTAAACGTAAGTGCCGTATATTTTGATTTCATCTTTGAACCTGCAATGTATGGCATGGCTAACTATTTCTCTATGTATACAAATTTGCAGGAAGATGTGGATGTTGACAATGTGGAAAATAGTTTACAGGAATCATTCGCGGATGACTTGAGCCAGGTTCGTAGATAGATGTTGTACATCGATGAATATTATGAATTAAATGATAGTAGTTAACATATACATTTTCATATGAATTTTGTGGGAGGAGTCAGATGGTATTAGCGGTGATCACGATGAGGGGGAGATCGACATTGAGGAGGCTCGAAGGCAGCAGCAAATGGTGGATACACATTGGAAGGTGATGGATATGACCTTTCGGTCGCAAGGTGATGCATACATATTCTATAACAATCACCCCAAAGAGAACGGGTTTAGCATCAGAAAACAGAAGGTCAAACGAGGTGCTTCAGGAATGATACGGTACCGGAGATTTCTTTGCTCCAGGGCAGGTAGAAGGCAGAGCAAGTTTATAACCATGGAGGGCCGCAAGCGCAGGCTTAGACCGGAGACTCGTTGCGATTGCGGTGCACATATGGTGGTGAAGCTGGACAGAGAACGTGGTGTTTGGTTTGTCGCGTCATTCGTGGATGATCACAACCACGCGATGGCTAGGCCCGACGAGGTTTGTTTTCTGTGGTCTCACAGACGGATTGGAGAAGGCACGAGGGCAGAGATATTGGCGTTGGAAGCTGCCGGGATAAGAAAGCATATAATAATGGACAACTTTATCAGCAGATACGGTTCGTACGATAAGTGCGGGCTTATCAGGAGGGATATTTACAATCTTTGTTGCAGAGAAAAAATGAAGCTCATTGCAAAAGGTGACGCAGAGACGGCAATTGGCATTATGAGGAGCAGGAAGGAGAAGGACCCTGAGTTTTTGTTTTGAGTATGTGCGTGACAAGGAAGGGCGACTGAAGAGTATGTTTTGGTGTGATGCACAGTCGCGGAGGGACTATCAGGACTACGGAGATGTGGTTGTGTTTGATAGCACGTATAAGATGAACATATATGGTATGCCGTTCGTCCCCTTTGTCGGAGTTAACAACCACCGTTGCACCACAGTGTTTGGATGTGCCATAATTGCTGACGAGACGGAAGGGACATATGTGTGGCTGCTGCACACATTTATGAAGGCAACTGTCAGGTGAAGCCAAAGTCAATAATCACAGATGGTGACGCTGCAATGATCTGGGCTATTCGGACTGTGCTTTCAGATGTTTTCCATCGTCTTTGCTCCTGGCATATCGAGAAAAATATGTAGAGGCACATGCATTACAAGTCACTGGATGAGTTCAGATCGCTCCTATACTATGCCACCTCTCAAGCAAACTTTGAGCAGAGATGGACCGCTTTCTATAATAAGTGGAAGACGGATAGAACTAAAGAGTGGCTTGACAGGATATACAGAAAGAAGAGACTTTGGGCAGCTTCATATCTTTCCGATGGTTTTTTCCTTGGTATGCGAAGTAACCAGAGAAGCGAAAGCCTCAACTCCTGCCTTCACCTACACCTGGACTACGGTATGACAATAGTTGATTTGGTTGTGCATTATGAGAACTGTATAGTTCGCCTGCGTGAGAATGAAGCATACGATGACTGTGAGGCACATCAAAAAGAACCACCGTCAGTTACTGAATATAAGGCAGTTGAGGAGCATGCCCCCAAAGTATTCACACCTGCTAATTTTTACGTCCTGCAAGATGATTTGCACAAGATGGGTCGGCTGGAGATATTTGAGACGCTCGTGGGAATTGAGCGTCAGACATATATGGTGACATGGAAGGATAACCACAAGTTCATGTACAATGTTGTTTATGAACCAGGTAACTCAGAAGAAACTATAACATGAAGTTGTCTTAGGATGGTTCGGAAAGGCCTGCCATGCAAACACATTCTTTTTGTTCTCCATCATCTGAGCATAATTGAAATACCAAAGTGTTGTGTCCTTCATCGGTTGTCAAAAAATGCGAGAGATGGATTGCCTGTGCAGCGAAAGAGTGATATGTTTGGATGGGGTTGGTCAGGGCCATTAGAGAGAGACCGGTATAGTTAAATAAGCATAAAAACCGCAGAGGCAACTCATGTTGCAGCAAATGATCCCTTCTTGTTTGACGAGTTGATGAAGTGTCTGGACAACATAATAGCGCAGAAAAAGATACCAGAGGAGGAACTTATAGGAAGTAGAAAGTATGCTAAGCTTAAGAAGGAGGCAAGTCAAGCGCAACAAGTTGAGCCTGGTATTGGTGATCCTGAGAAAGTTTCGACGAAGGGTGCACCTAAGAAGGGGCGGTCAAAGGGGGGCCCCGATGTCACAAAGAATGGTAGGCCAAAAGATTTTACAGAGGAAAAAAGCGGTCCTTTGTGCAGTCTGTGTAGTCTACCATGTCATAACAAGACTACATGTCGAAAAAACCAGAAGTAAGATGCTACCTTCTTATTTTCTGTTATGTTGGTACTTCGGTTTTACAAACTATATTTTCTCACCCACATTTTTATGTTATGTTCAAGAATTGGGCGTAGAGAAGCATCTTGCTATGTTGGAAGAATAAAAATGGTCGCATGAGTCTAGTCCGAATAAACTATGTTGTTTCTTGTTCGTACTTGTGTGGCAGAAAACTTTATGTCTCGATTTGTTTATGTGTGATGAAAATATTTGTACCAGTGCAACCAGCTACTTCTCGGTCTGCCGGGGAGGGGGTTCTCAACTACGGTTTTTTTCTACTCCGTCAAACATCACGACACTTTTTCCACACGTTGCCATCACCATCCACAACACCCACGTCAATTTTCGCAATTTTTTAACCCTCGATGCATTTTCTAGGGTTTCCTAGGCTAAAGTACCCTACACCGCTGTCCGGACACACACTGAGCGACGTGTGTTTCCTGTCTGATTTCGTTCATATCGTGCTTGTAAGACTACATTCGGGACGCACATACACTCGCAATTTTTTTTTCTGTTACATGCATGCAATCACGTACTTTAGCGTCCTTTCTATTTTATTATGTTTTAGCATATATTCGTGTACAAATTCATCATCAAATCAAAACTCTCGTATGAAATGGACAAAAGAAATTTCACTTAAATTTCATTCAACATAGATAAAATATTTTACATAGTCGAGCGAACTCGATGATTACAAGTTCATACATAAAGTCTACTACTTAGGCTTACAACGACATAACCAAATTAAATAAAATACACAGTAAAAAAACTACTCGTTGTCGCTATCAACGAGGTCAATCACGGCGGGGCTGTCACCACCGTCATCGTCGCTGCTGGACCGGTTGGCGAGGTCGTCCTAGTCCACCGGATCGTCGTTGGAATCCTCCTCGTCCGCCGGCGCCTGCTCCCACTCCTGCTGCCACTCCGGCGCCGCCATCGCCGCCTGCTGCGCTGCCTCGGCCGCCTGGATTGCGGCCGCAATCTCGACGGCCTCCATCGCCTCCGCCGCCGCCGCTGCAGCCTCCGACGCCCGTACGACCACGTGGTACCCCGGCGTGTCATCCGGATCGCCGTCCTCGCGGAGGATGACCTGCTCCGACGGCAAGTCTATCCCCGGCGGCGAGGGAGGGGCGGCCGGCGCGGGCGCCGGTGCCGGGTGCACACCGTGGCCACCGCCACGTCTGCGGCGATCGTGCGGTGGAGGCGGTGCGCGAAGACGGCCGCTGCTGCCCGTCAGGTCGGGGGTCTCGCCGGCCGCCGCAAGGCGGAAGGCGGCCATGACCTCCCAATAGTCCTTCCCGCACCAAAACCGCTTCCGACCTTCGATATTTTGCCGGCCGCCGCTGTGGTTGCGGAGCTCCTCCTCCGTCGCACCGGGACCCGGCATCGTGTAGCCGTCCGCGTCGATCTTCCAGTTGCGTGGATGACGGCAGCCCGGCGGCATAGGGAGGCAGTAGCGGTGGAGCTCCTGCGTCTCCGGCACACCGATGCTCGTCGGCCATGCGCCGGCGACGTCGGCGGCGGCGGCG